TATATATATATATATATGCATGTTCACATGTGTATGTACATTTTATAAGCAGGTGAGGGAATAGTCATTTGTTAAAGCTGTTAGGGAAGGCTTTGGAGAGGAAGTGTTCCTTGTGCTGGACCTCTACCTAGTTGGCATGGGTAAGGTGAGCATTCTAGCTAAAGGGAACAACATAACCTGCAGTGCAGATGCCAAACAACATGCATAGTCTTGGCACATTGAGTGGTCCTGCAAGTCCCTGAAGTGGCAGGGTGTGGGGCCAGAACAGCGGACTGAAGCTAAGCTGTGCTGGGTCCTGTTGGTTATGCTGGGGATTTAGTTGTTCATGAAGAGTCTGAAAGCAAGGGAAGGATTTGATCGAGTTGGGGGTGTGCTCATCACCTAGTGAGTAAGTTGCAGAGGCCCTGACTGGAGCCAAGCCAAGTTCAGTTTTGTGGTTACTGAAACAGGGCAGAAACAAAATGATAGGGGCTTGGACATAGATGGCAGATGGCAGCAATGAGGCTGAGAAAGAGGCTGGGTAGTTAATACATTTGATGGGATGGACAGAACTTCCTGACTGATTAGATGTGAGCAATGAGGGGAAAAGAAAAGAAAATGAGACTGTTCTGAGCAGCTGATACATGCTGTGCACGAACTAGGAAACTGGAAGAGAAACTGACTTCAGTTTTGGACATGATGCAACACGTCCAATGTGAAAAATATATACAAGCCCTCCTTCCTCCTCCCCGACCCCCCCGCCCCCAAGTCTCTCCCCTCTTCCCTTCACCCACTGCGGAAACTTTGTGTCAGGGATCTAGAAGTTAATACCAAGGTAGTGGGTGAGCTCTAGAAGTAGGTGAGGTCACCCAGGAAGGGAGTGTGGGTTGAGAGGAGCACTTAAGTGACTTTGAGACAAGGACGGGAAGGCAAAAGGAGTAAAGAATAGATGGCAGGTGAAGGGTCTGACTGCTGCCCGCTGACTTCCTGGGTGTGGGCTGAAGAACCAGGCAAGGGAGCTGGCTGCCGGAGCAGCCGCAGAGAAAGGGATATCTTCCTTTGATTCCTGTTGGTGTGACTTGGGGACTGTGTTAAGGGTTTCAGTTCATTAGCCAGCACCGGATAGCAAAAAGGAGTCTGTTGGCACTTGACAAATGTTATAATCTGCATGACTGCAGATGACTCAAACTTTGTTCTACTTTTTTGAAGGGCTAGGGGGCCTTGGCAGTTTTCCATTTTGATGTGTTCTGGAGCTTGATTATTGGCAGCTGAAGGAGCCTGGGGTTCTGGGTAGCCTGGTCTGCGTATGGAGTGAGCTTAGGGCCATAGGCTGGACTCCAGAGCCCCGCCTCCAGCCCTCCCCAGCTGCCTGATTCCTGCCAGTTCACAGTCTGGCTCAGCCTCTTGTCAGCAGAGCAGAGGTATAGCGCTGTGGATGGTGAGTGCCTTGTCCCCAGGTTTGACCCTCAGCCCAAGGCTGAGGATGAGGGCTGTGTTTGGGGGAGGAGTAGTGCCTTGTGAAGCTTCGGGCTATAGGAAAGAAAAATCTGAAAGTAGAATTTATTGGGGGTGAGGGGTGTTGGTGGTAGGGTTCTATGGTGGGGAGCCAAGAAGTGCAGACTCTAAAGGGAGCTGTTTCAAAGAATTACGGGATGGCTCTGGGCTGTTTTCCACTGGGCTGCTTTCTTGTCCTACTTCCTGACTTTGGAGTTGCGTGAAATGAGGCTGGGGGTGGCATCAACCCAGCCTAGATTAGGGATCCCAGTTGGGTCTCCTCTTCCCACCCCCTTGTACAGCCCAGTTCAGAGCTGCCACTCTGAGCTGCCACAGCTGTTGTCTGTGGTCTTAAACGTCACCTTCTTCCTTAGGAGAGGGCTGGATCAGATAAGCCTCACAGTGGGGAACTGAACACTCTAGCAGTGTCAGCTAGAGGCTCCCCTGCATACAGCTTTACTATTATTTTTCTGAGAAATTGGCCCTTTCCTTAATGGAAGGGGGATGAAAAGGGGAGGGCAGAGAAGGACCTCTGTCATACTAGTACATTTCCTTTAGAATAAACATAGTTTGACTCTATGTGATGACTGAAAAAACAAGTTGATGTTTCCAAATTATCTTTAAGGCTAAGGGGATCATGTACCCTCCTAAAACGCATAGATGAATATGTGGGGAGACAGGCTGCGACAGTAGAGACTGCGAAAGTTGGAATCCTAGTGATCTGGGTCCAGGTCATAGTACTGCTGCCCACCGGCTACATGACACTGAAGAAACTTCTGAACTTCAGTGTTGTCAGCCAAAAAAAAAAAGATAATCTTCATAAGACTGTTGAGTGAATGAAGTCAGGCTATACATGTCAAGTGACACCAAATAAAATGCGAAAGAGAAAATGAAAATGCACTGTTTTGACATTAAGGCTCCCTCTGCCCCCTCCCCTTTTTTGTGGGTAGGAATAGATGTGATTCAGAATTCAGAGTTGCAGGGATTCGCCCTCTTAACACGGGCCAGGAAGTGAATTGTGTGGTAGCTTATGGGAACTCGGCTGAGGGGCTGGACCTTCAGGTGTTTCCAGAATCAGTTTTCACTGCTTCCCACTGGCAGAAGAATCAGCTGCTGTCCCCTGCGAGTAAGATGTTCATGGAGAGACTGGGCTTGCTTCTGGTGTGCCTGTGCTCTCACACGTGATGCAGCAGCTTCTGAGAACCTCCACCCTCCACAGAGGGAGGTTCTCTGCTCCTGCTTCTGGATTGCAGCCAGAGGAGGGCTGGGGTGGGTAAACCAGACCTGTAGGGGTTTTGAAACAAAATGGTATACTCTAGCCCTCCCAATTGAATTAGAGAAGCAGGAACCTTTGGCAGGAAGTTTGAGTTCTCAGAGTGCCTTCATCATTGGCATCACCCCAGCCAGCCTGCTCTTCCCAGGTTTGTTCAGCTTGGACCTAGTCTTGTTCTTCCGACCTGACTCCCTGGGCCCTCTGTTGGCTCCAGAACTCTACCTTCCGGGTGCTTCTGTGATTGGTCAGACCAGATAGATGCACCTGGCTCTCACTGGAGTGTGGTCATAGTTCCATGTTTACACCTTACCTTCCCACTTCAGTTTCTGTGTACTAGTCCTGTATCTCCTTAAGGATTGTGTATCATTTATGTTCCCTCCCCTAACCCACTTGCCATTTATTGAACAGGTTGGTATTGAATAGATTATCTGGAAATAAGTGTTGAGTCTAGTTGAATTTGACTCCTTTGTACTTAGAAGCAAGCAGGGGGGCCTGTCTGTTTGTAAGAACAGCAGTGGTGCGTTTGAAAGGTGTGAAGCTGGGTCCCTGGATTTCCTGGAATTCACTGATAGATCCCGGGAATTGAAGGGTAGATGTCACCTGGCCTTTGAGTACTGATGCAGACATACTGTCCAGGCTGTGTTCACACACCACACCGTGTGTTCCTGAATCATACACACGTCATAAAGCCAGGGAGGTCTTGGAAGTGTGTAGAGGTACAGATATTGTTCCAGACTCTTGAAAATCTTTTTATGGTAGGTGAAGTTCTGATTCTTCCTATATTTTTCAGTGAATTATAGTCTATTAATCTGTAAACTTTCTAAGTAAAAGAATTGGAAGCTGGCCTGTGTCTTTCCTGCTTGGTCAAGAACTTTGGCCCTCCATATTCATCTTCACCACTAGTTGTGCTGAATTCAGTTCAGTGCATATTAATGCACTGTGGGCCAAATCAACACTGGGTACGAGGGATTCAGAGATAAATTGAGGCACAGAGTCAAAGGTGAGAAGCTGGCCGATAGGTACAATTCAGAAGGATCATGGGTGCAGTTTGAGTGCAGTATCATGTGGGGGTGAATAAACACCTCTAAGGTGTTGGAATGGGAGTAGACAGACCATCCAGAAGACTGAAAAGAGGTGTCTGAGTCTTGAAGAATAGGAGGAATGAGATTGGACATTTCGGGCAGAGAGGCATGGAGCATGCCTACCTGTTTGACTTATTTTCACCATCACTGCCTTCCTACAATGAGCTAAGGGGACACAGTGAACTGAGGGAACTGAAGTTGGGCCTTGAGGAGGATTCAGCTCTCCAGTGCAGACTACCCCCATGGTGGTACTTTATTCTGGTGCTTACTGGCCAACCAACCATAAAATCCTGAATTGTTTGCTCTTAGACAGTGCTTCTCAGACATAATGTTCATGTGATTGACCAACTAAATTGTAGCTTATGACCTCTTACTTCTGAGGTAAAGCTTGAGATTCTGCATTTCTATGTGATCCCAAATCTTGCCAGCCCATGAAGCCACCTTTGAGTAATGGGATTATAAGAAATTCTCTTCCAGTTTGAGCCCCCACCATCAGATTCCTTGACCCTACCACTTCCCCCAACACATATACCAGTCTCCCATTTTTCCTCTTCCTGAGTACACACGTGCAGGACTCTTCTTCCTTAAATGCTGTTTTCATTTGGTCCTTCTTAATCTCTACCCTTCCTCCCTGGAAAAGTTTCCTTTTACTTCTTAAGTCAAATTCCCATGCTGACCAAACACTAGTCTGGTCTTCCCTTCCCTTCCCAAGGTCATCACCTCCAGGTGACTCCCACCCTTACCTGGCAGGAGATTCCTTACAGCCCCCTCCCTAGGGCAAGCCTGCGTGAGGCACTGAGACCTGAACTGGGAGCCTGCCTGGATTCGGTAGGGTCTGCTACCTGATGCAGATACCTTTTGCCCAGTTCCTCGGAAGCAGACATCCCAGCACTGTGCTCTTTAGGTGTCTCTCAGTTTCCCACTCACTCCACAGACTTCTCTGTAGTTCTGTTCATAGGAGAAAACATGGCAGATTAGACCCTGATGTTTAATATTGGCCATCTATTAAATGATGCAGTGTAAAAAGTGTTAGATGTTTGGGTATTTGCTTTCGTACTGGCTATAGTTTCATGTGTTGCCTCTTACTTGTTTTGTTTTCACTGGGTGCCTGTTGTGTTTGTGTAATAAGTGAACAATAAACTATTCTCACTTGGGAAAAGTGTACTGAGATTGCCTGCCCAGCATGGGGGAAGCCTGATGGCATGCTGGCTGAGAGTTGGATGGATAGGACATGGTCTCTGTTTCTGAGGGAGTCACAAGCCGAAGAGAAAGAAAGAGCGGGTAATAGAACAGTGTGGCTGATGTTCTGTGTGTCCTTTGACTGCAGAAGAGAAAGCTGACACCTACACAGGGGGGGAGTCTGAGACACCTAGCCTCTGAAGGAAAAGCAGGCACTGCCAAGGGGCGATGAGGAAGTAGTTGGTCCCCAGGGCTTGCAGAATGTAAGGGTACCACAGAGCTGCAGCCTTCGGCATGGGACAGGGAACAGTCAGAGTGTCTGAGAGGGCTGTCAACTTCTCTGTCATCCTGACTCACTGGGACAGAAATCTCCTCGTGTCTGTTGTGTCTACAGGTGCTTGTAGCAGCAGATGCTTAAACGCCAATCTCTGATACTGCTGCTCCCCTCCTTAGTCCCTGGCCTCCTTTCCTGGGGGCTGCCCAGAGCCTTTCACAGGTCATCACATCCCAGCTCTCTTGTGGGAACAGTAACGTCGTCTTCTTCCTCCCGATCTCCAGAAATGTCTTTTCTCCAGGATCCAAATTTCTTCACCTTGGGGATGTGGTCCATTGGTGCGGGGGCCCTGGGGGCTGCTGCCTTAGCATTGCTCCTGGCCAATACCGACATCTTTCTGTCCAAGTCCCAGAAAGCAACACTGGAGTATCTGGAGGATATAGACCTGAAGACACTGGACAAGGGTGAGTGGTGACCCCCTGGCCTCAGTACTTTTCCAAAGCACTGGGATGCAGGCTTACTTATTTTTTTTTCTTTCTAAATTAGTTCTCTCTCTCTCTCTCTCTCTCTCTCTCTCTCTTTTTTTTAATTAAAAAGGTAATGTAAACAACATTGGGAAAAATTTCCTAACACTTTCAATTATGATCATTTCATTACCTTACCTTAATAGCCTTTTTTTTTTTTTTTTGCACATTCTTTTTGACGTGTACCCATTTTATGTAGTTGTAATCTTGGTGGATTGATACTTTGCATTTTAGTTTTTCCTATCACAAGTATTTTTCACTTACTGTTGTTGTCTATAATGATAATTGTTCCATAATATTAGTAATAGCGTACCTATGTGTTCTGAGGAATTTCAGGCTCATGAATCTTCAGGAAAAAAGAACTCCCAAGTCAAAAAATTTTGAGAAATGCTGTATCCAATTCCATGTTCCAAAACTGAGGGGTTTGCTTATTGAAATAGGTGTCTGAATTGCTACTGGTGCTGTCATGGTCAGCCATTACCTACAGTGTAGCCTTAGCACCTGGGGCAATGCAAGGTCACACTTTTTGAATGGACCTTTTTTTGTTGACCTCTTTTAGGGGAACTCACCTGTATCCCTGGTTAACCACTGAGAGCCACATGTGTGAATGTGATAGTTCTTACTGTGTACTCTTGGTATTTGATCTGTAAACCTGGTGGGATTCCAATTAGGCTGTTAGTGTGGGTGCCACTGGCAAGGGAGTTTGGTTGATAGTTGGGGTTTACTGACTGGTAGTCTCCAGGTTGGCCTCTCAAAAAAGGAGACCATTATCTACTCAGAAAGCCAGGAAGTTTGTCAAGAAAAGGCAGGAACTGTGACTGTTTAATTTATGACATAGGTCACATACCGTATTAAGGGACTAAAACTTCCCTGCAGAGCTATTTAGCTTTATTCAATCCAAAGTTTCCCAGTCTCATTTGATTGTAGCCCCTCCCTTTTTCACAGAACATCCCCCAAGTACATGGGTTCATCTGAGCAATGCAAGAACAGGAAGCGTTCATACTTACTGAACCCTCACCAGAACTGGTAGAACACAAAGACAGCTGACATCTTTCCACACTTTATGCAGCCCAAAGTGCAGCTGTTAGACATGTACATTCAGGAAACTGGGGTTTAGGAGGAGATGCAGTGTGGCCAAGGTCACACTGCTAGAGGGACTCAGTCTGATGGGGAGCCAGGCTGGAGCTGCGGGACTACCCTACCCTGAAGCATTTCCTTGGTGGACATCTTCTGCCGTTAATATATTTAGGTGAACAAAATGTTAATCTTTTGAATACTTTTTAAAGAGTTCTTCACCAAAGCACATGATCTCTAGTTTTTGACCATTTATCTGCTCTAAAGGATTGTTGCAATGTCCAACAAAGTAATTTAATAATTCCAGAAATGTTCCATTTAATAAAGGATTGTTGCAATGTCCAACAAAGTAATTTAATAATTCCAGAAATGTTCCATTTTGGGATATTCAAGATTGCTAATAGATTTATATAGGGGAGGGCATTTTGGGTACATAGTAGGGCTCTTGTATTATATTAATTTTCCTTAAAAGGTTGAATATTTCCTGTCTCTGTTTTCTGTTTGCTTTTCTCACATGTGAAATACCTGTCCAGGTCCTTTGCTAGGCCTGGTGGCCTTAATAAGCTGATTAGCAGTTGGTCTGGTGAGGTTGGCATGGGAGGGGCTGGGAGGGGCAGGGGTAGGCAGTGATAATAACTGAATTTCCATTTCTTCTCCCCAGAACCAAGGACTTTCAAAGCAAAGGAACTCTGGGAAAAGAATGGAGCTGTGATCATGGCTGTGCGGAGGCCAGGCTGTTTCCTCTGTCGAGAGGTTAGTGCCTTCGAAAGTCTGTTTGGAGAAAAGATCCTTGTAAGTGATGCGAGTGCATTTCCAGCCAGGACCAGGGACCTGTTGGGCCACTTTAGCCCTTGATCAACATTGTCCCATTCTGCTGTTTGCTCTAGGTATTTCTTTAGATTTACTCGGTTTCAGTGCATTTGACTGTTTAGCATATCCTGAGTTAGCAGAATGTTTGACTTCCCTTTAGTATCCCTAAGCCCTTCCACTCTTGTTCTGCTAGTTGTGACCTGGAATAACTTCCCCTTTAATGAAGGACAGGGATTAGGTCCAGTGATGTTCAGTGCAGGGATTCACTTACTGAAATGTGATGTCTGGGTTGAAATGGGCACAGTCAGTCCTTACCTGGTGTACACCTGCAGTATGGAAAAGCACAAGGTCTCACTTTTAGAATGAACCTGCCTATCTACCTCTTCCTGGGGAACTTACTTAGCATCCCAGATGGACAACTGAGAGACACACATGTGAATGTTGTGGTTCTGTTGCCTTGCTATGTGGTTTTGGCATTGTATCTGGGGCCTGGTGGAGTTCCTCATGCTAATAGTGTGGCTGTCATTGACATGAATGTGGGTGGTCTTTAGTTTGGCACCTTAAAGGGAATATTGTTGTCTGTTTAGAAAGTGAGAAAGCTTGAAGCTTGCCAGGAAAAAGGAGGGTCCAGCCTTGTCACTTTAGATAGGCAGACAAGGATGGTTCAGTGACCTGTCCATAGTCACATAGTCAGTTGGTGACAGAAGACCCAGATTCTGAGATGATTGCCTAGCTTGGGGCAGAGTCAGAATGACAGTTCTCCTGCCCTCAAGTAGTGGCCCTGGCCCTGTCCAGGTTGTCATCCTTGTTTCTCTGGTTGTCTGCTCTGACCTGAAGCATTGTCTTTCAGCCTTGCAGATCTCTCTCCTTATTTCTAGTCAGGGAGGCAGAGAACCCACTAATAAACAATGATGCTACTGCACCTTACATTCAGAACACCTACATGCCTGTTTATCTCATTGATTCCTTACTATATTCCTGTAAAATGAGAATATTATTTTTAATATTCTCATTTTACAGAAGATAAACTGAGGTCCAGAGTTGTGACAAAGTCACAGTGCTGTGGGGAGGTGTATTAATTGCCTGTTGCTACTATAAAAAATTATCACAATCTCAGTAACTTCAAACAACACATTTGTTATAGTTCTAGAGGTCAGTGTTTTGAAACATGTCTCACTGGGCTAAAATCAGGGTGTCAGCAGCTTCTGGAGGCCCTAAGGGATAAATAATTTCTTGTTATTTAGCTTCCAGTGATCAATTGTACGCCTTGGCTCATGGCCCCTTCCTTGGTTTTAAAAGCCTGCCCGGCTGGGCAAGTTTCCCTCACAATGAACCACTATGCCACTAACTGCCCTGTTTCCTCTTCCACATTTAAGCACCCTATGATTGTACATTGCAGCCACCCAGCCACCCAGATAGTCCAGAATAATCCTTAAAATGAGCTGATTAGTAACCTAAATTTCATCTATTGCCTTAATTCCCCTTTGCCATGTAGCAAAACATGTTCATAGGTTCATAGGATTAGGATGAGGATATCTTTGAGGGTGTTGTTCTGCCTGATGTAAGAACCGAAGTAACTCGGGCTTTTGGTACATACGGCTTTGGGCCTGCAGTTACTTAGGTGGAGGCCTGTTGCGTCCCAGCAGGGCCAGGAACTCAAGGGATTCCACAAGTGGTACTTCCCACTATGACCTGCCCTCCTGTTGTTCTGGTCTGTACCCTGGCAGAGCATTTTGTGGAAACTTGTGTTTCTGAATGGGTGTTTGCTTGGCAGTCAGCGTTATTTTGAATGGCCTGGGGTGGAGGTATGTGACTCAGTTTCTACTTCGGGCCTTTATGTAGCCACACAACCAGAATCAGGAGCCCAGGAAAAGTGAGTAAAACCTTTGATCTTGCACACAGGTGGTCCCTGGCTGAGTCAGACCCACAGTCCTCTGCTCTAGGGCAAAGGCTGCCACTCCCTCATCCCTTTGATAAATGCATTGTAATGAATCCTGCTCGATTAGTGATCCTTTTTGTTAGCTTGTTCTAGAAAAGAATAAAAATTAAAGATTGTTGCCATCATACAGCAACATCTGTATTACCAATAAATGGGGTGCATTTGAGCCTTCTGTTTCTTTAATTCTGATACCAAAATTGAAAAGGAATTTGCTCTTAACATTGGTGTTTTACCATGGCACATGCAACTTCGCTTGTTTATCCACTACTCAGTTTAGGAGAATCAAGTCTGCCTGTACTGATGAGCTCAGTGCATTCCATTCTCCCTATCCGCCCTCACATCTTTCTACCTGGAATCTAGTGTCTTCTGCATGCTAGCTGTGCGCCAGGCTGTGAGGGGTATGTGGAGCTGATGGAGGGCATAGTTTTCAACTATAAGATATACTTAATAGCTCAAGAGACAAATACTTAACTTACTCATAGAAAAAGTGACAGACTCATAGAAAAAGTGACAAAGCATAGATTCAGAATTTGACTCCAGACTGGACTAGTCAGGGAGAACTTTTAGAACAGGGATTCCTTTCTAGAGTCTGGGATTTGTGCTAGTTTAGTCTCCTGCAGGGGAGGAGCTAGCAGATGAATAGGAGACAGTTGTAATGACCAGTTGTGGAGGATCGTGTTTGGGGCAGTCTCTTAGTTAGTGCATGCTCCCCAGTCATGGTTAGGACACCACAGTAGCAACGTAGCCTCTTGTTTACTACATGGACAAGACAGTTCCGGACTGAGGAGCACCAATTGGGACAGTCTTTTGCTGGCCACACAGTGCTTATTTTTGGCATTTTGTTGCCTTTATCCTTGTGCATTCAGTGCCAGCTGGGCTCTGGCCTGTAGGGAAGAGGGTGCTGGTTGGCTGCAGAACCCCACAGCTTGTGTATCTCCACTTCACCTGTCTTCTGCAGGAGGCTGCAGACTTGTCCTCCCTGAAGCCCAAGTTGGATGAGCTGGGTGTTCCCCTCTATGCAGTGGTGAAGGAGCAGGTCAAGACTGAAGTAAAGGATTTCCAGCCTTACTTCAAAGGAGAAATTTTCCTGGATGAGAAGGTGCGTGTGCTGTGAGTCTGTCCACACAGACTGTGGGCTGTGCTTGGCTGTCGGGCATCATGCTCTCGGGCACAGGAACGCTGTACAGCTCGAGAAGTTCAAGTCAGGAACAGTACAAATCTGTTCCCTCCTGGACTCAGCAGGGTTCTTTGTTTCCTCGGACAGTTGAGAGTCTTTCTGGATGGGAGCCGCATGTGTGTGCATGTGTATGTGTGTGTGTGTGTGTGTTTGCACATAATTGCACATAATAAGTTGGGGGGTGGGGGGAAGGGTGTGAGGTCACAAACCAGAAGGCTTCGGGTCTTTGTCAGAGAATGAATGGCCACTTGGAACCTTTCCTCCTCAAGGAAGGTAGCCATGTAGGCTGCTCTTATGAGATCTCTCTTACTCCCACAGAAAAAATTCTACGGTCCTCAAAGGCGAAAGATGATGTTTATGGGATTTGTCCGTCTGGGTGTCTGGTATAATTTCTTCCGGGCTCGGAGTGGAGGCTTCTCTGGAAACCTGGAAGGGGAAGGCTTCATCCTTGGTGGAGTTTTTGTGATGGGATCAGGAAAGCAGGTAAATTCCTAGTGTTTGCTTACAGGTCTCTGAGCATGAGATCCTGCTGTGTATGGGGGGATGAGGGTTCCCAACCCTCCTTCCAGAAATCCAGGGAACATGTGAGCAAGGGAGGGAAACTGTCATTTATCACACTCTCAGGATGTGAGCCAGCTTGCCCAGAGGGGCCAGTAAGCATTTTTCAGGTACATAACTTGGGACAGAGGGTTAGAGAAGTAACTGCACCATGGAGCACAATGGCAATGCAGGGGCCTAAACCCAGCTTTTCTGATGGCAAGTTGTTTTTCTCTGCACAAACAAAAACAGTTTTACTCTGTCATGAATTTACTCCCTGTGGTATTCTCAGGCTGTCAAGAATGAACAGTAGAGAAAAGTGAAAAGGGGTTGGAGGAAAGTGCCAAAAAAAAGTAAAAAGTTGAAGAAAGAATCAAAAAAGACCTAATGAGGGGAAGTGGCAGGGAGATGAGGGGAGATGTTGGGCTGCCCTGCAGAGGTAGCAGACTCTGCAGAGAAGCTGCTGGGGCCTCATCAGAAAGGGCACAGGGACCTGAGGGGAAGGTATGGAGAGAGAGCTCTGGCCTGCACAGTGGCAGGTGGATTATCAGGTTGGATTGTTGCAGCCTCAAGCTGTGCTAACCACCCCTTCCTCCAAAAGGTGGTGCCCGCAGGAACTGCAGGATGGGGTAAAATCATTGTAGGCTCCCAGGCCTGGCGGGAGGACCTGGGGACTAGTAGTTGCTTTACTTGAGCCTGTCTCTGTCAACCTCGGGCACAAAATTAATACTTGTCTGACCCATGGAAGGTTGGATAGGGTTGGTCTGCTTTGGTGAATTTCACTGTAAACATTGACAGTTTGGGAGAAGTAAGAGCTTAGGCATAGGAATTTTTCAATTTTATACTTTCTAATTTCTTCCTTTTAAACATCAGTGTCCACTATTGCTTGCCTGTGTTAAAATATAGAATGAATTGTTGTCTGATTTAACATGAACCTATTTGCTTTTTGGCATATATGTCAGGTGTCTTTATAACAGTAACAACCAGCACCTGCCTTGGTCCAGCTGCTCATTTATATGACTTCATGTTTTGTCACAAATAATCTGTAATGTAGGTATTTTTATCCCATCTGTATGTAAGAAAACCAGCATACAACTGTGAAATAACTGAGCCTAAAAAGCCCAGCTAGGAAGTGGGACAGTCTGCTCCAGAGATGCTGTGCTTTCTCTGCGGGGTGCCTGAAGACCCCTTGCACCTGGGCAGGCTACACCTCAAAGCACTCTCAGCTCCCGTGGCTCTGGCACCTGGAGATTCCTTTCCCTCCTATTTTCCCTGATTCTGTTTCCCTTGGCCTCCAGGGCAGGGCTGGGCTCACTTGCCAGCCTTCTCTTGCCTCGCACTGACTCACCTGGTGCTCACGGACTCCCCAAGCCTCCCTGGCTCACTCCCGGTTGCTAGGTGTGTTGTTTGGCTTTGTTGGTGCTCACAGGAACTCAGCCTTTTTACTTCCCAGTGGAAGGTTGACTTGACTGCCTGAACTTTAGGACTTACTTCTGAAGTTGGTGGGGAGCAGTCTTTGCAGTCCCACAGTGCCAGGGCCCACTCAGCCAGAAATAATAACCTTCAAGGCACAGTTACTTTGAAGAAGTAACATGTTTGCACTGTATTCCATTTGAAAATGAGGAGAGCCAGCCTATAAACTTGATCTTGCAGATTGTTAGAACAGAGATGAGCTGAGATGTCTTTCAGTTTTTTTGTTTTTTTTTTTATGAAAATGCTATTTTGTCCCTCCCTGGTGGTGCAGCGGGTTAGGATGCAGCACTGCAAGCTAGCTTACAGCCACTTCAGTGCGAATTCAATTCCTGGGCCCAGAGGTGATCCACATGGCGCATCAGACCTCTCCTGACCCGCCCGCTGCTCCCCTCAGCAGTGTACTTGGTCGATCTGCCTTCTCTGCCCCCCACTCTGTCTCTGGTGAATCCTCTCACCCCTCTGTACCTCGGCCTATATCCTAGTTCTGTATGCATAAATAAATAAATCTTAAAAAAAAAAAAAAGAAAATACTATCTTTTTTCATTTAACAGCATATTAGGAACATTTCCCCCATGTCGTTAATATATTCTTAGTTTTTTGTTTTTTTTTTTAAGATTTATTTAATTGTGCATACAGAACTGGGGTACAGGCCAGAGGCTCAGGGGTGGCAAGAGACAGAGTGAGGAGCAGAACAGGCAGATTGACAAAGTACACTGCTGAGGGGAGCAGTTGGCGGGTCAGGAGAGGTCTGCCACGCCATGTGGTCACCTCCGGGGCAGGCAGGAATCGAACTCATGCGGAAGTGGCCTTAGCTTCTCAATGCTGTGCTTTAACCTGCTGCGCCACCAGGGAGGGCCTTAGTATTTTTATAGGTCTTAGTATTTTTATAGGTCTTTATAAATAATGGCAGAGTGACTATATTTGCAGAAGCTTTTTAAATTTGAGTTCCCAGATGCCATGAATCAAAGAACTCTCACAAGGATTCCTTGATGCTGATCTCAAACACATTTTTTTAATCTTTTCTACCACTTTAGTGTACTTTCTGGGACCCTGCATCCCAGTGAATTTGCTTCATAGTATTACAAGTGAATGGCCTCCGTTTCTTAGGAAAACCAGAGACAGTCTTCCTTTTCAGATAGTCATTCAGTGCTTGCCAGAGTCTGACATCTGAGCCCCATTTCCTTACCTTCAGGCTTTTCTGTGTAAGCCCGTTCTGTTCTCTTTGCCTGGAATATTCTTTCACCTGCACCTCTACCTGTAGACATCCTGGTTACCTTCTGTGCCCTTTCTCTGTGACGCTTTCCTGGCTCTTCTATTTAACCACTCCTGACTCCCTACTCTGAAGGTGCTGCTTATACAGTCCAAATGTTGTGATGTAGCTTGTCTGGAAAGCCAAACTCCTCTAGCACAGTCAGGTAGATTCTCGCTGGTGCTCAGTGTCTATCTTGTGAACAAATAGCTCCAAATGGGGACTGATATCGCTCTTGTTTCCTTTTAGGGCGTTCTCCTTGAGCACCGAGAGAAAGAATTTGGAGACAAAGTAAACCCAGTTTCTGTCCTAGAAGCTGTTAGGAAGATCAAATTACAGACCTTGGCTTCAGAGAAAAAGTGATTGTGTGAAACTGCCCTGTTCAGGGAGGACAAGGGGCGCTCAGCTGTGTTTCCACTTGTGGCCCTAGAGAATTAGAAACCCATTATGTCACATTCCCTGTAGAGATCATTAATATATTTTAATATTATACCTTGTTTAGGCCCAAAGAGGCAAATTACACCTTCTCCCCACCAAAGATTTATAAAATTAAAAAAATACTAGTAAGTTTTTTAGGTAAAACTTGGAAAATGGAATGTTGCTCCTCCTAAAAACACATATGGTGTTTGAGTGCTGTTATTTGAAATTATTTTTATTTTCATGTCTTAAAAAATCTAAGAAAAGTTCATGATTGACTTGAAGATTAAGGATATACGATTTCTTCTGACTTGTGTGTTTTATGTTACTAACTTGTTATATGATAGTAAAGTTCATATAAAGGAATTATGTTCTGGATGGGTTGATACAGGTAAATTATAAGGTGAAATCCTTATAATTCTTTTCTTGTCTTTTATTCTAACTTGGGAAGTTTGTTTTTCTAGAAAATATGATCATCTCTTGCTCTAATAAAATTATGACTCAGAAATTGCCTACAAACATGAATTTTTCTGATACAACTAATAATAAAAACATTTACCATAATCATGTCTGAATTTAAATCATTGGTGCCAGAGACACAACTATTATATTATTAAAAAAAATTCATATGAGTGATTTGCTGTCTTTCCGAGAGGATGACTTTGGTATTTAAGATCAGTAACTACTTTTAACTGATGGTCTTTTAACCTAATTTGGTGAATGAGAAGAAGGAACATAGAGAATGAAATATAGCAGTCTATGAATTTGTTTTAGATTATGTCATGTGAGTAAGTATGAGGTCAGCAAGAGCCAAATGGGAGCCCAGACCTGGGGTGTAAAAGCCCAGGAGTAGGGAGGTAGACATGGGAGTCCAGAGGAGAATATTTGCCCAGGGGACCAGCCCAGCCAGGAGGAGACCAAGGAAACAAGAATGGAGACAGAGGTTGGAGCTGGGGACACAGCGGTGTGCCAGAAGGGAGTGTACAGAGTGAGTAGGGGAAGCTGGTTCAGGAATGAGACTGGGCCTGGGTCTGACTTGGTGCGGTGGCTGTGTGGTGTGCCCATGGGCAGCGGAGAGCTGGCTGTATGCAGACTTCTTGGTCACGCAGCCCAGTACTTAAAGCATCAGTACAGTGACTCATCCCCCAGTAGCTGCAATCCCTGGGATTCCAGCTACTGTTAACTCAGATAATTCTTTGGTGCCTGGAAGACATTTGATTCTGAAACCATTCCCTTGCAACTAAAAAAAGAGTAGAGCCTGCAAGGACATTGCACAAGTGGCTGCATAAAGAGAAACCTTACTGTGACCTCCTTCACCATCTGTTTTACTCCTGGGTCCTCAGGCACAATGGGGCCTCTCTGGTTAACATCACATTAGGATAAGAACACCACATTGTATCATGAGTTGAGTTCAAATTCTAGTTTAACTAGGTGGCCTGAAGGAAAGCTTTGACTTTAAGCTATTCTGCCGGTTAAACAGGCATACTAATTCCTGTCTACTATTCAGAGCTATTTATTAGAAACCATGGAGGGAATGATAACTACTTAAAATTGCTTCTCAAACCTTAAAGCATACACAAATCTTCTTATTAAGATGCAGACTGTTACAGAATAACAGAACTAGATAGTAATGAAAGACAGTAAAGAGATTTTACTCAGTAACTACTGCAGTAAGAGAGACCTGATCTATGAACACTGGACTGAGTGCTGAAGTAACTGGTATTTTATTTCTTTTTTAAAAAATATTTATGCATACACAACTGGTGTTCAGGCCAGAGGTGTGGGGATGAGAGGATTCACCAGAGACAGAGTGGGGAGCAGAACAGGCAGGTCAATGAAGTATACTGCTGAAGGGAGCAGTGGGTGAGACAGGAAAGGTCTGCTGTGTCATGTGGGTCACCTCTGGGGCTGGTGATCAAACTCACACTAAATCGGCTGTGGCTAACTTGCAGTGCTGTGCCCTAACTCTTTGTACCACCAAGGAAGGCCCACAACAATAACCTACTTAAAGGTAGAAGGTAGAGCTTTTTGGGCTCCAACCAGGCTGAGGGAGAGCTGTTTGGATTGAGGGATGGAGCAGAGTTACCAAGGAGGCTTCAAAAGGATGGATCACAGGTGAGTTGCTTTCTAGGTGGATGGTGTCAGTTTGCCTTCTGGTGCCTTCCTGTGTTTCAGTCTGCTCTTCCTCCTCTCCAGACTTTGGTGCCTGGTGCTTGATCTCAGCTAGGTGGATGGCCTTCTCTGACATAGCAGTCTTTGGCAGAAAACCACCTTCTTCCTCCCTTCACTCCTAATGTGTATGACTGCTCTTTGCTCTGCTCAGGAAAACAGCTGCTCTTTCACAGAGAGCTTTGGGCTGGATGCCTGTCTCTGCATAATGGACGTGGGTATTAATGCATCTGGCCATATGTCAGTCAATCCATTTTCTCCCTCTGTCTGTCTCCTCCTTTTGCTCTGACTTTCAGCTCTCCCTTTTCTCACTCTGTAAATAAACCTCAATACAACTTCTCTCTGTATGTCCTACTTTCTTAAGCTCAAGAGTGAGGACCCACCAATCAAACTGTCCCTGGTCCCTCCCTCCCCCGCTTCACCCTTTCAGCCATGTAATAATGGCTGTCCTTATAGCAAGTTTCCACATTGATAGCACCTTTTTTGTTATAGAACTATGGTCGTCACCAGCCCAACAAACTAGTAATGAATATGCATCAACTTTTCCCATAACTCAATAAGAGCAGAGGAAGTGTGCTATTATTGTAGACAGATTGGTCAGGATATTTAAGCAGAAGTGACATTGAGTAGACACCTGAAGGTTATAAATATTGGAGTAGGAGCATTCCAGGCAGAGTAAGTAGCTTGTGCAATGGGTCAGAAACGGAGATGGGATTGTTGTGTTTAAGGGACACTAAGAAAGTGAATGTGCCTAAAGTGACACTGAGGAGCAGAGGTAGATGAGAAGGTGAGGAGGTGATAGAAGTCTCATGCCATGTAGTTCTCACAGACCTGTGAAGATCTTTTAGATTTACTGAGACAGATGGGAATATATTAGAGAATTTTGAGATGAGGAATGAAAGATCTGACTTATATTAATTTATGAGACAAGATTGTAGAGGATGAAAGTTTCCATCAGGGAGACACTTAGGATGCTATTACAGTTAATGTAGGCAGGACAGAATGGTGGCTAGAAGCATGTACCGGGTAGCAGGTGGTGGAAAAGGGTTAAAAATTGGTTATAGCTGAAAGCAGAAACAAGGGGATTTCCTGAATGATTGGCTGTGGGGTGTGAAAGAAAGAGGAATCAAGGATGACTACAAGATTCTTGACCTGAATAATTAATTGTACATGAATTTTGCAGAAATTGATGGGTATTGGGGAGGTTTTATTGTCACCTGAGTAACAAGGAATGAAACAGAGGTATAAAGAATCAATTCAAAAGGGCTTCTGAATGGTAACCTCAATAAGATACAATTTATGTAAAATTTTAAAACATAAAACATTTAGTTTAGAATTCCATACATAGGTGGTAAAGTATAAAAACATTGTACTTGAATGATCAGCCACGTGCAACAGGCTTTATCATTATCTGGTAGCTTCACAACTTTGAAAACCCCATTGTCCACACCAGATCCTAGTCCAGTTAAACCAGCATCTCTGGGAAGCATCCATTCATTGATGTTTTTTAAAGCTCCCTTTGGTATATAGATAAGGTAGAAACCACTGACTCATATTGATTGAGAAACAATTGTGAAATCTTAGAGAAGCCCATGAAACTATTCCCATTTTAAAATTAAGCCTTGGTCAAGATCTGTTTTAGGTCCAGGCAAGAAAAACCTAAGCTCTATTTCCATGTTGTGCAGACAGGAAACATGAAGAAACTCTCCCAAAAGGCTGCTGAGCCCAGACTGTCCTTTCAATATCCAAGAAACTCCTGAAGAAATGGTTAATTGCAGGCTTGGGATAGAAAATATGTAAGATAAACCTGGAGCATCTTGGCATATCTCATGTCAAGCAAGCTCTCAAAGACCACCGTAGGCTTATAGGAAGAATGGGCTCAAGAACCATCTTGAAGAGATCCTCTCGCTAGAGATGGGGCAATTTGAGTACCTATAATTTCAATGGCTTAAAATATATCTGATATGTTTAAATCTCTAAGTCCAAAATGACACTAAAAAAAAAAAAAGTACATCTTTAGATAATGCTAAGAAATGAACTCATTTTAAAACCTGGGAATATAAACAAACATTTATTCTACCTTTGTTAAAAGTAATCAAAATGATGAGAGATGTTTCATCCCAAAGTAATTTTCCTTTTCTTCCTTGACTTCTTGGTTAGTTAGGAATCTGCTGTTTATTTTCTGTTGCTTAATGTCCACATATTTGTGAATTCCTCAAATTTTCTTATGATAATTATAACTTCATTCTGTGGTGGTTAAAGAACATTCTTTATATGGCTTCAATTTTGAAAAAAATATTTATTTAGTTATGCATATAAGAGTGGGATACAGGCCAAAGGGATAAGGGGGGAGGTGAGAGGATTCACCAGAGACCGAGTAGGGAGCAGAACTGGTGGGCTGATTGAAATACACTGTTGAAGGGAGCCATGGGTGGGACAGAAAAAGTCTGCCACGCCTTATGGGTCACCTCCCTGGCTGAGGATTGGACTCATGCTGCAGTGGCTTCAGATGGTTTCAAAGTGCGGAGCTTTAACCCCTTGAACCACCAGGGAGAGTCTGCTTTTAAATTTGTATAGACTTTTTCTGAGTACCTAACATATGATTCATTTGGAGAATATCTCATGCACTCAAGAGGAATATGTATTCTGTTGTTATGGGATGCAGTGTTCTATAGATGTCTATTATTTCAGTTGTTTCATAGAATTGCTTAATTTCTCTTTGAAATGGTTTCGTATATAGAAACTGATTTCCTTGTGTTAACAGTGTGTCCTGCAACTTTGCTGATTTCATTTATAGTTCTAACAGATTTTCAGTAAGTTCTAACAGATTTTCAGTAATCTTAAAGGTTTTCAATGTAAAAGATGAATCTCTTGCAGAGTTCTTTTTATTTCTTCCTTTCTGATTTGGACGGATGCCTTTTACTTCTTTTTCTTGCCTAATTTCTATGGCTAAGGGGAGAGTGAACATCTTTGTCTTATTCCTGATTGCTCGGGAAAAGTTTTTAACTTTACAATATTGATATGATGGTGGATTTGTCACATTCTGCCTTTATTATGTTAAAGAACCTTCCTTTATTTGTTGAGAGATTTGTGCGATCTGACCATGAAAGGATAATGAATTTTGCTGAGTGCCCAGTGTACCTCTTTCTCTAGGGTACAGTCTGGAAGAAGTACATACCACTCTTTGTCATGTTCCATTGGCCAGTCTGCAGGACTCCTCTTAACTGCAAGTTAGCCTAGAGATGTAGTCTTTCTCGTGGATAGCTTTTTGCCTAGGTAAACTTCGGTGATTTTATCCCTGGATAAAGAAAATAGGTTCAACAGCAGTGTCTGCCACAACATATTGATGGAAAAATACATGAAAAACTGGTAACAG